GTAGTTAATCTTAGGAATACTGTATAGTTCAGCCTCATAAGGAGATTGCTTGTTTCCTTTTTTGGGTGAAAGAAGAAACAAATATTTGATCAGGCGTGTGTGTTTGGGCTGTTACAGTACAGATTTCTCTAAAGACTGTCTTTCTGCTTTTCGTATATGAGACTGTCAACAATTAAAAGTAAAAGGGTAAACTTGTAACCCAGAAGGTACTAACAGGGCTAAATGGCCTGTTGTCAGTTGGGCATTGTGGCCTCTCCTTCCCACACTCTCCCTGACTCAAGGAAGACAAGCCTGGAACTGCACTGCCCACTGGTACATTTCATGTGTGACGTTGGCCAGTTGGAAGCAGACTTGGGAGATGTGGAAGGCCGAAGAAAGAGAGACTGTTATTGAGAGAGCACAGTTGCTTCTTCCCAGCTGCAGGCTGAAAAAGGCCGCAGATGCTTTCCCCGAGGTCTTTGCGTCCAGGCAAGCTCCTGAGAATGACTTGCTTCAGTACGGCAGGGAGATGGTCAGTGATGGCTTCTCTGGCTTTAGCTCCCCAGTGGTGGCAATGGTCATGTAACCCAGAGGTCCCCAACCCCGGGGCCACAGACCAGTACTGGTCCACGGCCTGTTAGGAACCGGGCCACACAACAGGAGGTGAGTGGCGGGCGGACGAGTGAGTGAAGCTTCATCTGCTGCTCCCCATCGCTCCCCATCATTCCCCATCACTCCCCCATCGCTCCCCATCACTTCCCATCACTCCCCATCACTCCCCATCGCTCTCCTGTCACTCCCCATCGCTCCCTATCACTTCCCATCGCTCCCCTATCGCTCCCCCATCACTCCCCCATCGCTCCCCATCACTCCCCATCGCTTCCCCATCGCTTCCCCATCGCTTCCGCATCGCTCCCCCATCACTTCCCCATCACTCCCCCATCACTTCCCCATCACTCCCCATCACTCCCCCATCGCTCCCCCATCACTCCCCATCACTCCCCATCACTTCCCCATCACTTCCCCATCGCTCCC